GAGCGTTATATGTGCCCTCCTAAAAAAGAAAAGTACAAAAGTTTTAGCATTTTTTGTAAAAATTGAAAACTTGAGTGTCTCGTAACTCTTCCAATGAAGCAAAGAAAGAATTTGTCATACATGAAAAGAACCAACCCTTCACTCTGCTAAAAAAAAATCAAGTTTTATAAGTGTCCTTCGGTATTTAGCAATCCAGTTATACCCTCACCGTAACTGTTACTTTACAAAGAGTAATTTCTCCCCCTTCGCTCAATTTTATCGTAGATAATGCAAAGCGCTAGAGAAGTGATTAAGATCTGGATGACAGCTGAACAGATTGATTTCAGTGGAATGTGACAATGCTATTGTAAGACGAACTCGTGAAATCCTTAAGGCTGCAGCAGATCTCGTGGTAACAACGAAGGAGAAAGCGTAGCTTGGCCTAATAACCCTTAAAATCTACTAAACAGGAATATTGAAGTGTTGCAAGAAGCAAAATTAGTGAATTTAGAACGATATAATCAAGCCGACTGCTTGTATTGCGGCAGAATCCCCAATAATGATCTATTTGCCGCGACCTAATCAAAAGTATGGAAGCGATAAGCAATAGACAGACTCCAATATATTCCCTAAATTAACACCCCACAGTTGCTCATTCCATCCTGCAAAACCACATAATATTCTACTTATTTCGTGAAAATTCCGACTGACTATTCTTCTGAATATTATACTCGTAATTCACCTTGTATACGAAGAAGAGCAAGCAGTTATCACTGCTTTTGTTTATTCGCACTCTTTTACGTCAGTAAGTTTGTTTTTGTGTCTTGTTTTAACCGATCAGCTGCTCAAGTTTTGAGTTCTAAAAAATTGTGAGGAATAAAGTTTATCCTTAATAAAACAACATTATCAGACTATATATTCCAGAAGGCAAGCATTAACTAACATATTGACTGAGAAGAATTTGTGATGCCTCAAAACCGCAAGTGCAGTAAAGCAAAATAAAAATGGATTGTGATAGAGTAAATTAACCTAGATTAAAAAAAACGAAAGGGGGATGAGGCAAAATAAACTAAAATAAAAAGGAGCAAGATGATAAGGAAACGAAGTCAGTAAAGGTAAATATCATTCAGATACAATAGAACAAAACAAGAAAATGAGTAGCAATCACCCCACATTAAATCTTATGCTTTTTTTGTTAACTTCTCACACTCCTCCCGTTTTTTGATACAGCCTTATCAAAATCTGAGAAACTAAAAACAGGACCTCAGGAAGTAAGTCCAGCCATGTTAGACTCCGTCAGAGCTCACAAACTCTTTATTTTTTACTCATTTTGAAGTTCTGCAACCATTAGACACTCTAAAAGAATTAGAATTCAAATGAATTCAAACAAAAGTAAAAATATACGAGTAAAGAAAAATAGGATAGTTCTTTATCCAACTTTTCTTCCTTTGCCTTCGCTTTGCTTGTAATGATTAGCATCGATTACGTGGTCACTTAAATCTGCTATGGGGGTCCTGACCTAAGCCTTAGTGGATGATATTTTATACGTTACCTCAAAACCGGGTGATTAAACCTTGCTAAACATATACTATCACAAAAGGACAACAATTATTAACCATCTAAAATAAAAGAACAGCACTACAAGCCATTTGTACATCATAAAAAGAGAAATAAAGTTATCATCACGTCTCCACTTCTCCGTCACTTCATAGTCGGTCTTCTTTACTGCCTACTGTTATCGCCGTCAAACCGTCACAATTGTTTCTTGACTTTCCTTCCTGGCCACAATCCTTCTAATCCAAACTTCCTATGCTACCGGTGTAATTCTCTTTTATGTTCTCCAGCACCTCTTGAATATGACTACCTACTATCGCTCCCGGTTTCCAGCCAAGATAGCCCTCTATCCTGGAGGTACGGGACTGTTCGTCTTTCTTCGTTCTTTACCAACAATATAAGAAAACAAATACAACTATTTTCTGCTAGAATTTGTACTGCGCTTAATCTATAAGACGTTCGCCGTAGCTAACCTGCGTTCCTACACAAAATTACAAAACCTGAAAAACCTGATTAAGCAAGAAATGAAAAATTTTTTGATCTTTACAGAATATAACTCAACAAAAGATTTGCTTTTCTTAAATCTAAAAGGACTTTTTACTAAATAGCCAACGTTTAAAAATTTAAAAATATTATTGTGAATCTATTTTGCTTCCTACGAAAAGTAAGCCTTGGTCCCTCTGGTTCACAGCAGATTTGTATGTGAGAATTCCCAGCTGGGAGAATCAAGCAAAATCTTTATTTTTGTTTCAAAACGAACAGAAAGATAGAGCAACGTTACGCCCAAGGCAGAAGACTTCATAAAATACAAATGTGGTTAGTATGACCAGTATGAGACAGAGACTGCAAACTGAATGACAAAATTATGGACAATATTCCGTGAAGGAGAATTATACAAGAGAAGGCGTTTATCAACTGATGCTCTCCTTGCGTATAAAATTATGATCTTTTGGTGGTTTCGTCGTCGAAGCTGTCCTTTGCCGTTTCTGTTATTCTTTAGTACAGTCGAACTGACCGCGAATGTTTAGTTTGATAAATTTTTTAGGCAGATAAGAGATTTGTGGTATTATAAGCCTCAGTATCGCTAGATATTACACTGGTTTCCGCCGAGCCAGACATTACAATAGCTGTGTTGTGATAATTCACAACAGATACCAACCAAACTTGTGTATTCTACTGTGTGGAGTAACCAACAAATATATAATATTAGGAAATTGAAAGCTGCTGCTTTCCCTAAAAACAATAGGGCAGATCTTGACGCGACCAAACAGAAAAAAGAAAACAGTAGGTAATGACCAAAAGTAATAATCCACTCAAAAAAAAAACCAATATTTTCTTCCCCCTTCCCGTCTGCCATTAACAACGGTGGCTATCAGCATTTCGTTACCTTTAGTTCTAAAACTAACGCACCATAACTTACTGTTTGCTGACACTTAGATATTTCCGGTAAACAAGCAACGTGGCAAACAAAAATAAGTAACTTACCACTTGATCCAACAGAATCTAACCATTTCAGCCGTTAATTTTCCACCCTTTCAACTTAAGGTTGAGAGAACTCCCCCCGTCAAGTATCTTTGTTTTTTTTAAAGGCTTCCTGGTGGTGAAAGACGCCGGAGATTATTATTTTTTTTAATTGAAGAATGTTGTTAAGCTTCTGTCACCCTCCCCAGACCCCTCACAGCCCCAGTTACCAACAAGTCGCTATCAGCCATTAAAGAGTCTTTGTCCTGCTTACAAGGTGGTCAATGTTAACTGTTAGTCAATTGCTTTTTGGCGAACGGAATGAAGGCCAACAAATTACTGATTAAACCTTTTCCTCTTTTGCTTACAATAATTTTAATCCCAGTGGCAGAATGTAAGCGACAAAAGAAGGCAAGCAAGGAGTCAGCGAAAACTATTAAAGGATGTAACTTCAGTATGCGGGAAAAACAACTCAGGTCGGACGTGAAGCAAAATTAGGCAATTCGAAAACTCAAAGTTCATAAATGGTGAGACCTCCATAGAATTTTTTTGGTTGCCGGAAGCGCACTTTTAATAGGTAACTCAAAAAAGACGTCTAAAAGTAATGCTTACTAGATCATACATTTAAAAGAAAAGTTGAAGCTGGTCAATGTTGAAAAATTTTTCGTGTAATTTCCCTTTTGGTACATTACGAAACAAAAACGATTCCTCCCTATAAGATACCCGTCTTTAAAAAAGCCTCCCCCAAATAGATGGCAGAGGTCATTTACCATTTCTTTATCACGCTCTTTTAAACACCCTTGCAAATCCAAAAAGATTTGTTCTTAAATTGGACACTAAAGGGTGAAAGATCACTTGCAGTGATCTATTGAATTTCTTCGTCGTCAAACAGCCTAAAGCCCCACGGAAGTAGGCTATACCATAAATCACCGCTGCATTTGGCCATGTATTTATTTCTCAGCATTGCAGCAAATTTTCGGCCAAATAATAAAAAAAACAACACAGCCTAGGCATCTCTATGAAACATCTTGGAATCTATACAGTTTGTAAAGCAAAGTATCTGCAGAGAGTTGGCAGAACTACGCAGTGCCAGATTTACACAAAAGCAGGAGTTAATTGTCGGCATACAACTGAACATCCTAAACTCACAAAATGTCAATAAAATGCACTTTTCTTCACTCTACATTTAAAAATGTCTAAATCCAGTCTTCAATGTTCAGTGAATGAATTTATCCAGAGGTGATAAATATTAAAAGTTGGATAGAGCTTCTTATAATATATTAATTGAACATTAAGAACAGAGAACATCGCTGCAAACAAGTAGGTAATGAATACTATTAATACTGCAGCTACGTAGGGTCTGTACTTCCTCAGTGACATAAAATGTGTCGGCCAATACTGAAAAATATCACCAACGTGGAACTGACACGTGACGACAAGGAAAAAAATGCATGCAACGCAAAACTTTAACAGATTATTCAAAAGAGTAGACTTTTGAGACTATCAAAAACAATTTTAAAGCAAAAGAAAAATGAGAAGAACACGTGTCGGTTTCTGGCTAAATCAGGATGCGCCGGGAATAAATCGCGTGTCAGCAGAAAAAACTAAAGAATTATTTTTTTTTACGGTAGATTTAAAACCACTTGGTAATAAATGATTGCTGTAGTTTTAGACCCGCTTTTTTAAAATCCGTGTGTAAATTACATTCAAAAAACCATTCTTTCAAAAATTTAGTCTTGCATACTGTTACCTTAACAACAGATCAATTACACCAGTCTGACAGTGCTTATCAATTCCAGAGGAAAGAAGCGACCAGGAGGAAAATTTTGTTGCAACCTTGGAAGGAATTAATAAATGCACTTCGACTCAAAAACTTCGTCAAAAACTCGGGTGATAAGAAAGTTTAATCGATAAATAGAACAAAGCTGCCATCCGCAACCGATTGATTGAAAAAATACAGGAACTGTGATTGGGCCACAACACAACGCTGCCCATCCCGTAACAATTCACAATTGCCCGAGTGCACTGTCTGAATCTGCCTGCTCCTTGCCATTACAGTGCACAATGTCGTCTGATGCCATACGTTCAAAAGTTCCGCTAAAGAAGGGAGCTTGCAGTTTATTTTGAGCATTCACACCGAGACGCATGGATAGAGGATGCAAAGAAAGCTGTTCCGGGCTTACGTCACTTGAACAGTGTAGTTCGCTCAGTCTAACCACAGTCCGGAATTAAACCTCAAGAGAATTTGACTCCATTGACGCCAAAATATTATGTTTAATGAAAAACTGAAACTGACTACCTTATTTCCTCGCTAACAACAATGAACAGTAGAGCTGGCAGATTCTGAGAAGGGATGGAATTGTTTCGCGCAATAATCCACATCAGAGCACTGTATACTCCCAGTTTCTTACACTGTGCTCAGAAGACGTTTGTTACACTAGCACTAAAAAACTGCACTCTTTTCCTGATCCCTTTTGTACTACAGTTACGCGAATGATATATAATCCCGTAAAGTATACAATAACCTGAGTAATCTCGCTGCTTCCATCACTCGACACTGCCAGTTCAGTTGTGTCAAAGTAAAACAGCAGTTATTTCGCTGAAAAAAAAAAAAAA